AGCCCGGTGACGCTCCCACCTTCACTTTAATTAGCATCTTCCTCCCAGGTTGGGGCTGCAGGCGGCTAGGGTGCTGCTTCTCTCGCTGTGGTCGCCGCGGCCGCTTCCCAGCACGCCACGGCAAGGGACACTTCTGCTTCCGGGTCACTCTCCGGACCCACCCTCTCCTCTTCCCACCGGGTTCCCGAAAGGCTCGGGAATGCCCTCGTGTTTCGTGTCGTTGTAAAAGGCAAGCCGGCTTAGGAACAGAACAGACGACGTCCTGAGACCCCCCCCCCCAGCCCGCGTGCTCAGGAACTGGGGTTAGCGGCCAGGGGCAGCAGAACAAACCACTTTTCCCATCATGCCAGGAGGCAGCTCCGACCTTTGCATCCTAGGAGTTGTAGTCCCCCCGCCGCTGGCACCCAGCGGCAACCTCAGTGTGTGGACTCTGTTACCCAGAAGGCCTTGCACAGCGCCCGAAGCTGGAATTCCTTGGGTAGTCGGGCTTGCAATTAGCGGAACTTGTTGGTGTTGCCCTGAAGGCTCATCCGACCTGCACGCGGCTAGTTGCTAAGCAAAAGAAATCTTTGGTCAACTGCCACCTGAGTCTAAGCAACAGGAAGTGAGTACCCCTATGCCGGAAGCTGATTGAAATCTCTTTTTTTCTCCCCGACTAAGTCAGTTTCCTTCTCTAACCTGCCCTTTGCTGGGGCGGAAAAAGGAAGATTAGCGGGGTAAGGAATGCACCTTCAGAGATCGTATTTCTTTCCCTGTTCTCCCTAAGAATACCTGGGATTGAAGCATTTGGGTAATCCAGACAAAGGATGGTCCCAGTGAGACTTCAAGGACCACACCCTGACCTGATTTTACAGAATTCAAGCAGGAGAGGTGACCTTTGTCCTAGCGTCGTCAAGACATTAGGCCCATGGGGCACTTGGTTCCGTTCTTTACTTGTTACTTCCCAGTCTTACAACACTCAAATTATTATCTAACCGCAGCCCTGCATCATGCCTCATATTGATAATGATGTGAAACTAGACTTCAAGGATGTCCTGTTGAGGCCCAAACGCAGCACCCTTAAGTCTCGAAGTGAGGTGAGCCCAGCTGTCTTCTTGCTTTTTTGACCTCAGACTTCTGGCAGACCAGGACCAAGAAAGCTGCCCGGTTCTAACGTGATACATATTTTCTGGATAAATGAAATGCTTAACTGACTGTTGATGTCTACAGGTAGATCTCACAAGGTCCTTCTCATTCCGGAACTCAAAGCAGATATACAATGGCATTCCCATCATTGCTGCCAATATGGATACCGTGGGGACTTTTGAGATGGCTAAGGTTCTCTGTAAGGTGAGACTAGCTTTACGCACCCTACCCAATGTTACCCCAGCAGGCTGCAGAGGCATTGCATTTCTTTTTTTTGGTTTTTCGAGACAGGGTTTCTCTGTGTAGTTTTGGTGCCTGTCCTGGATCTCGCAGTGTAGACCAGGCTGGCCTCGAACTCACAGAGACCCGCCTGGCTCTGCCTCCCGAGTGCTGGGATTAAAGGCGTGCGACACTGCAGCCCGGCTGAGGCATTGCATTTCTACTCCCATTCTCTGGCAATAGACAGAATGTTGGGTTTACTAATTTTTTCCATTACTAAGGACCCTTTATCACTTCAAAGATCCGTTTGAGTTGGTGAGATTCAGGATTTGATTTTCTTCCATTTTTTGATTAATAACCCCCATAAGTTATATACCTTACCAAATTCTTCCTGCATCCACCCAGGTCAGCCCAGTCATATGCATCTCTCCAGTCTGCCATTGTTTTGAACACTGAGCATTCATTGTTTAGTCCAGAAACGAAATACTGTTTTGAATACTTAAACATTTCTACCTGGAATATCGTAGAGAAAAGGAGCTTATTAGTTCTCTTGTATGCCTGTTATTCTTTTAATTTTCCCCTTCTTTAAGTCCTAGGTTCCTGGGAGTTTCTGAGATGTACCCCAAATGGAGTTTTTTCTTAACTACAGGTTGTTCCCTTTGAACATGGAAGCCTCTGCTCCTGTCAGTAACGTTGCTTGCCTCTGTGCATGTAGCTGAGAAGGTAGCTAGTTGCCTGGGCACTCTTGAGAACATAATGTGCTTTGCTAGTCACCCCACGTAGCCCTAGTTGATTGGTTCTGTTTGTGGCTGTTAGCCTTAAGGGCTTTCTCATCTTTGTTTTTGTAGAATATTTGTTGTGCTTCCTCTGAAATTGATAATTGCGGAGTTTTGTTACTTTATTCCTGTCACCATTTACTAATTGTTCAGGACTCCTCTTGTCTGTTGTCTGCCTTCTCTGACAGGTAGATTTGGGGAACGGTAAGTCTGTTGAAAGACATGCTGTAATATATGAACTTTACTGGGGACTGGATCTCAATACTGTGGATAAGTGCTACAGAAATAAAACGTTAGCCAGGCAGAGGTGGCACACACATTTAATCTCAGCACTCGGGAAGTGGATCTCTGTGAGTTGGAGGCTAGCCTGGTCTATAAATCAAGTTCCAGGACATCCAGAGCTTTTAGAGAAACCCTGTCTCAAAAAAACCAAAAAAATAATCAAATTTTAGAAAAATAGCCAAGTCTCAGTAATGATAAAAAAAAAAAAAAAAAAGGTCAGCTACAAGCCAACTTTTTCTTAGGGTTGGTATGTGTTGGGTGTGTTTATTAGGCCAAATATCTCCAAGATCTGCTGACTACCTAGAGCTTTTGTTTATCAACATGTTGACTTTGAGTGTTACTGAGAAAGCAGAATACTGGCTTTTAAGCATAGAACTTCCTGTTGCTGATACATGACTTCCTTGGGTCTCTCCTCATTTGCAAGATTTGTACTGTTTCAACCAACTCCTGACCCTGGTCTGGTTGCATGTCTGTGCTTTCAGAAAGCACAAACACCGGCATGAAGTGTCTTCTGAATGCTTTTCTCAGGGGATATTGTTTGCAGTTCCATGAGCCAGAGGTTTTGAGCCTGATGAGTCTTTTTGTTGTTTTGTTTTGTTTTCCTGAGACAGGGTTTCTCTGTAGCACCGGCTGTTGAATCAAAGGTCCGCCTGCCTCCGCCTGAGTGCTGGGATTAAAGGCTTGTGACAGACACCACCACCCAGCGAGCCATTGCATTTTTGAATTTACCTAAGATAGATGAAATTGATCTTTGCATGTTTTTGTCCCTAACTCCAGCAGAAAAAGGGATGGAATAGTATTTTGTTGCTCCACTGGTCTTAAGTCTTTAACTTTGTGTAGATCTATAGTTGGATTACTGCCAGCAAGTAAACCAGAAGAGAGAAGAAGAGAGATTTTTTAGTACTGGATCGCCTTAGAGCCAAGTGTAGACAAACACTAGCTCCAGCTAGCCTCCTCATAGTTCTTCCATGCCTGCTCCTTGTCCTGCTGTACCAGCAGCAGCATGTTCCTGTCACTCTCTAGGTCACAAGCAATGTATGTGCTAGCAAGTTAAATCCAACCCAGCTCACAGGACTCGAATAGGAATACTTGACAAGTGCTAATTTTGGGTAAAAAGCTATACTGGGATCTGTAGCAAGAACAGTGGTTGAAGCAGCTCGGTCACGGACTTCGCGCTGTTTCTCTCTCAAATGCATCATCTTCTCTGGGGACAGTATAAAGGTAGATCTGGAAATAGCCTGATGAAGCCTTTGCCCTTTTGATGGTTCTCTCTCCTCCTCAGTTCTCCCTTTTCACTGCCGTCCATAAGCACTACAGCATCCGTCAGTGGGAAGAGTTTGCCAGCCAGAACCCTGACTGTCTTGAGGTAACTCAGGGCCCACCCCGCTCCCTTATTAGTTTCCCAGGAACCCTTTTTTGGCTCTTAGACATTAGCCCCCACTGTTATTGACTGCTTACCAGGTGGGTCACTTCTGACGCAATGCCACAGGCTGGTCTAACGCTTTCTCCACAGCACCTGGCCGCCAGCTCTGGCACAGGCTCTGCTGACTTTGAGCAGCTGGAACAGATCCTGGAAGCTATTCCCCAAGTGAAATACATATGCCTGGATGTGGCTAATGGCTATTCTGAACATTTTGTTGAATTTGTAAAGGATGTACGGAAGCGCTTCCCCCAACACACCATCATGGTATGTTTCTCTTTTTTTTTTTTTTTTCCCAGACAAGGTTTCTTTGTGTGGCCCTGGCCACCCTGGAATTCACTCTGTAAACCAGGCTGGCCTCAAACTCAGAGATCTGCTGCCTTCCGAGTGCTGCAATTAAAAGCATGTGCCATCCCCCTCGGCTGGGTGTTTGTCACCCTACTCCTTTGTGACATTCAGTTTTGTCCTCTGCTGCACCTTGTTTCTGTTCTACACGTTATTGTCACGGCTCAAAGTTTTATATGTGTCTTAATCAGTGCAATCTCGGACCCTTAATTCACAGTCCATCAACCCAGTGACTCTGACGTCACTTAAACATGATGGAGGGGCTGGAGAGATGGCTCAGAGGTTAAGAGCACTGACTGTTCTTCCAGAGGTCCTGAGTTCAATTCCCGGCAGCCACATGGTGGCTCACAACCACCCGTAATGAGATCTGGCGCCCTCTACTGGCATGCAGGCAGAACACTGTATATATAATAAATAAATCTTAAAATATATATATATA